TTATATACTATATAAGTATAGGATATTTTCAAATTTGCATCCCAAAAAATTGTAAAAATTAAAGAAGTTTTTTGAAATTCAAAAGTTATTACATCAAAAGTTATCATATCAACACAATATGCTATTTATTTAAATCTTGTAATTTTTTATACTGCTTGATCAGAAGTAGATCGATTTTTCTTCAAATGTAGTAGCATGCATATTTTTTAAGATTTTTTTCGAAACAATCAATGGACACATGATACACAGACTTATATTGAATAATTATGGAAATAAAATGCTTTCTTTGATTGTATCGAATTAAGAAATATCTTAACAACTTCAATAAAAGAATATATCTTGATTTTTCAAGGTTGGTTTTTTTGGTATTTACGTGCATTTTGCGCGCATTAATTAACATGTAATTTCATCTAAGAAACCTTGAGAGCAGAAACTATATAAAGCTAGCGTTTATAACTGATTGAATCATTCGCAAGAAAAGTAGGTAAGATGATACTTCAAGTGTTTAGTACGTTTAGTGTTATAGCGTTTGGATTATGTGTAGCAGAAGAACTCCGTAAGTTACGTTTATGCTTTTATTTTTAGTAAGGTTTTTTTTGTTAGAATCCTTTATATTTTACTAATTGTGTATTAGCGCAGCAAATTGATATATGAATGCTTGTGTATCTCTAGAAAAAGTTTTTTGTAGAAAATCTATATAAATTTGCATAAATTGACATCAAAAACAAAAGAAGCACATATATTATCTCTCAAAAAAACAGATAGCGAGAAATTCTAACACTGTTGGAATTGTATGTATGTCACGAATGAATTCAATAAAATATCTGAAATAATATATATAATAATTACTTTCCTGCTTATTATTGGAAAAAGTTACTTGTTAAATGTTTATATCTTTCTAAATAAGAAAATCACACACACACTAACACTCGCGGACTCTCATTTATATCCGTGAGTATTAATGTGTGTGTGTGTGTGTGTGTGTGTGTTTTGCATAAATATCGCAAGTGTGATTACAGACGCAATAACATTTACTAATTTATGATTAATAATAATAAAAAACAATAAGAAAAATTTTTATTTTGTGCTTGCTACATGCACACTTGACAATATATATATATATATATATATATATACTTATTTTATGACCTATATATATATATATACTTATTGCTTTAATTATATTCGAATTCTTTTACTGTCTAAAGTAACTCATATATCTTTATAACACTATTTTTATTTAGCTGTAACTATCTGCAAACGGAATTCTCCTGATTATTCCAAGTGCTTAAAACTTGCGATACGAGAAGCATGGCCACGATTTGTTAAAGGTATTCTTCTTAAAATAATTAGTTATATTATTTTAACTTATACATTTTTAAAAAATGCAATTAGTTAAAGTTAAAATGTAATATACTTTTTAAAAAATAGTTATAATATGTATTATTTTATACATACACGATTAATGTAAAGCGTTATGTATTATTAGAAATGTTTATAAAGCTTATCAAAATTGTAATCATATAAAACTATTTAAATTTCCGTAAATTTATATATATACATATATATAAATTCAATTTTATTTATTCAAAATTAAAAAGATTTAATGTTTTCTGATTAAGCCATTTTTATATATTGTATCAAGAAATTGATACTAACGCTAGTTCTTTTATCTTAATAGGACTTCCACAATTTGACTTTCCATCTTTGGATCCATTATCTTACGAACACGGCAACTTTGAATTTGATAGAGGCGAAGTACATGGAAATGTAAACATAAAAAATGTTATTAGTGAAGGTTTAAAGATAACTAGTTTTTCGGCTGTAAGACCGCATTTTCTCGATGATGTTTTTCGTTTGGAAATTGATTCACGAGTACCGAAGTTGTTTATTAATGGTGATTGTGAGGCAGAAGGTAGAATAGGCGGATTTAGAATGGGTGGAAAAGGTACAAAAATAAACGCATATGTGACGGTAAAGAATTAATTATATATCAAATTATTATACATTTACCGAAAAATTTTTTTTTTTTAATTTAAATTGGTATCATCATGATTTTATTATAAACCAATCAAAATAATTATAACAATTGCATTAGACTATAACAATATATATAAATGCATAAAATTATATCTTTAATATAAAATTAATAATTATCGATTTATAAATTGGCCACTTAAATATATGTATAAATAGCCTTAATAATTTTTTTAAATTGTTGGTATATATATGTAAATATTACTAAATATTATAATATTATGCATATATTTATATTACTCTGTTATAATTTATGAACAGGATACTTTAATCTAACCTTAGAAGACATCAGAGGAACATGGGATTTAACAGGGCATGTAGCAAATGATACATGGACTGTAGAACATTTCCATTTTCTTCCGACAGTTGGAAATATGAAAATCTATTTGAACAATTTGTTCGATGGCAATAAAGAACTCAGTAAGTGTATTATAAATGATTCATATATATACATATATAAATAACTTCCTACTCTGTTATTACTTTTTCTAATGACCAAATTGTGCTTATTTATGCTTATTTTATTTAATATTCATATATATATATATGTGTGTGTGTGTGTGTGTGTGTGTATGTATATATATATATATATAAGTCTTATCATTATTGATAAAGATTTTTTGAAGCAATTGTAGGAAAATTGCATTCATTTATCGTAAATCTATTTTGCAATTAATTAAAAATTTATAATTTATAATCTCATACATATTTTAATTAGTAATAATTTCGTAAATTATCTGTGTGAAACGACATAAATTGAAATATCTATATATGTATAAATAACTGTAAAATAGAGGTTTTAAAACCATTTTATGAGAAATTTTCTTGGAAATCATATTGTTTTTTTAAATATTTAAAATATTTTCAAAACAGCATCTCACGTCATCTTCATGTTATATGCATTAGGATACAAGTCTTTATATAATCAACCTCTAATTATCATGAAAAATACGTTGCTCAAGGATATTTTCTATAATTCTCTATATCTATTAAAACAAATTTACGTCAATGCTCTCTGATGCATGTTATTTAGTATAAAATTATATAATAACAGCAATAGGCTCAAAGTACTAACAATTAAGAGGGAAAACTAGTAAATAAGACCCACCGATTCTAATTTAAAATTTGACTGCAACAACAAATACTGTGTATGTCAAGTTTTAAAATACCAATCTTTATATATTTATATCTATGCTAAAGATGAACCAAAAAACAGTCCCAAACGTACATTTTTAAAATACACATTTATTATAAAAATTTAACAATAATAAATTTCACGGATCAATATCCGCGCCTTGGCTCTTATTTGCCAGTTTTCCCACTTAATCAAATTATATAATTAAAGATAAAGACACATTAAGTTAACTCATTGTCAAACAACGTATTGATACAATATATTCAAATTTAAGATTAACAATAAGTAGCAAAATTTAAACCAACTCTTTTTCTATAAACAGGTATAAACAGGTAAAAATAAAGAGAATTCATTTTCTATTGTATCTAATCTTCAAAATCATTTAGAAATGTTTTTAATGTTCTTTTATCCAATCAATATTTCAATATTATTGTACTTTGCTATGTAATTACAAATGAGTAATTTAAGTGTAATGTATTGACAGAAATTATTTGTTTAAGATATTTACACTTTAACATACTTTTTTCTTTCTTTATATTCTTTTTTTATTAGAATATATAATTACATATAAATTTTTATTTGCAGATGATCTAGCCATGTTTTTTGTAAACGAATACTGGCCGACTCTATATCGAGCGATGTTACCAATAACATCCGAAAATTGGAACCCATGGTTGACCGACTTGTCTAATCGCTTTTTTTCGAAGGTTTCCTTCTCGAAATTATTTCCATAAAATTCTAGCATTTACCTCCGGCATAAATTAGAATTTAAAATATATTTAGATTCATGGAGATAAACATAAAAGTTGTATAAAAATTTCGATACGCACACATACACGTCCATCCATTTATTTAACAATATTAATTTTATTAATTTTCTAATTAGTTTAACTTTTCTTCAGTTTTCTTGGAATTTTTGATTTGCAACTTCAACACATGGATTTCAATTACGTAAATTTGTTTTGCCAACTCCTTACTTTAATTTCGCGAAATGGACTTTTCTGGAAGATAAGGATTAAGAATATTGATCTCCTGCAACTTTAGCAAAGAGTGCCGCATTTGGTGTCGTGTTTGTCGTATCTACACACTTGCACTATTTCCTTCTCCTCGTAAGGATTAATTGGTCGCAAACAGGGATCGTGCGAAACTTTGCTCGTTCAATTTACACTGGAGAGCCGACATGTATACGAACGCGGAGACGCGGACGCGGTCATGCAATTTTCAACCGCGACAGGAAATCAAGATCTCTTTCGGGTATAGTGCCTCCCTCCCCTCCGTACGCGCTGATATTTTTGTCGTTATATCTCCAGAAAATAATCGGAAAAATAAAGGTGGAAAGAAAGCGTGAGAAAGATAGAAATCAAGAGAGAAATAAAGAGGCACGGACTTTGTTGCGGACGAAAAGTCAAGAGGAGAAAGTTGAAATACGCGCCAAGAGCGCGGGAAGTTGTCAAACTTTCGCATCAGGGAATTCTTTCCGGGCTCCTCGGAATATCCGTAATAAAGTTATAAACTTTTAAGAAGGGCCACGCGCCATCTTCGTTATATAACTACTTACTCTTAGTTTTTCGTAGTGCACAATGACCGAACTAAATTTTCCTCTTTTCGAAACTCAATGACTAAATCTATGACTCGGTGAGCAAGTTTCTATAGTTTTTTACAAACTGATGGCACATTTTATTTAATTACGTAATGAATTTGTTTTGATGCTGTAAAATATGAATGTCAAAAAAAGATTTTTGATACTTCTCTTTCTCTTTTATGTGTGTGATATTTTTTATTATATATATCATATAT